ATAAATGAGTTAGTTTCTGTTCGATGGACTTTGCCATAACATCAATTAATCATTTTCCTTGAAAACTGCTTGCAAAGTCCTTGAAATGTATTGCAAAAGTCGAGTGGCAACCCTGAGTAGCAGTAAAAATATTTTTGGCGCTGTTAAATTACTTTTTGAGCTACATGACTAATGGAATTGGCTGTCTCTCTCTCTATCTTTGTCTTCTGTCTGTCACAACATATTTCATCAGTCTCCGTCAGTGAGTCACTTTTGGCAGGGGAAAGATTTATCTGCCCCGGTGTGACATCTCTGAAAGACAGACATGAGAAAGGAACATTTAAATTTTAGGACATTGGCAGTGTGTATAGGTGTGTGTGTGTGTGTGTGTGTGTGTGTGTGTGTGGCTGTTGTTCACACACGTTTAACTGCTTTGCCATAGGGACTACGGGTGGAAAATAGCAATTTGCTAAAACCCGGTGCAATACATCTCTCCTTGTTATATACAGGGCTAATGTTTTATTGTGCACTGTCCCTGTTCAAATAAAAGAAATAATAATAAATAATAAAGGTGTAACGTGTAAAGGTGTGTTTAGAGAGTGGCAGTGAACACAACCCTGTTTCCCAAAAGCATCTCAAAGCCTTTAGATTATCGTTGTCCCATTTTAAGTCTATGAACTATGATAATCTTAGTCTTAAAGGTGATAGCATGATATTGGCAGAATTGGAATATAATATTCATAGGTATGTTTTCATTACTGTATAATCACCTGTGCCCAGTATTTCAGAACATTTAATCAAGATCAGAATGATCCAGATTTTGTAATCCCTTTTTTTCTGTCCTGGAGAAAACTGACCTTGTAGGTTCTGGTCTTTCAAAGAATTTTTTGATAGGATGATTCTGATCCAGAAAGCCCAAGATCAGGATTACAGAAACTAGATTTTAATCTTCAAATAGGCTTCTATCTGTTGGTCAAAGTAATTCAACATGTTGGAAATGTTGGGAAGTGTAAATCAGTTTCCATATTATTCTTACTCATGTATCTGCATTGTTGTTTAAACATGTTTAGTTTTAGTTTAGTTTTTTATTATATTATGGGGGATTTGTCAGAGGCAAGATTTAAGCCGTTCAGAATTGGTGTTACAATGCAAACACACTGACTCACAGTCTTGGAGACATCCCAGTCTCAATATGGACCAATGCCTCCTCGTGCTAGTTGTGATGACACATTAGGCCAAACTGACAAAGACTTAAACTAAACACATTTTCTTTGTTTCACTTAGATTTTTTACTTTTTCTAAACTTCTAGTCTAGTTTAGTTTTTATTTTATTTCAGTGAATTATAATGTTTTTTCACAGCTAGTTTTAGTTTTTAGTTTAGTTTTAGGGAACTGTAATAACCTCTGTCTCTACATCCTCCTTGAATCCATGCTGAATCCATCCTTCCAGTGGGATCAGGATCATGCAGAGTTTTAGCATCAAAACTATCCTAATCTCCACTTTAGAGTTTTGAAATACCCCAAACCAGCGTTTGATCTGGATTGGTGGATTGGATTACCAAATCCGTAGCCCAGTTTTGTTGGATCAGGATCATATCTCCTGCTTTGAAATACCCAATTTTGAAATTTAATCCTTCGCTGAGAATTCTGATCTACATTAAAGGTTTTGAAATACTGGGCCTGTTGTGTTTTATTACCATAGACATTTTTTTTTCATATATATATATATATATATATATATATATATATATATATATATATAGCCTGTATTGATAGGACAGCTCAGGGTAGACGGGGGGAGAGAGAGAGAGAGAGAGAGAGAGAGAGAGAGAGAGAGAGAGAGAGAGAGAGAGAGAGAAGAGATGACATGCAGCAAGGGCTGCAGGTTGAGCCGAACCCACTGTCACTGCAGCAAAGTGACCACTTAGTATTTGCGGTGCCAGCTCTACCAGGTGAGCTACATGGGTGCCCCAAAATGACAAAATACATATTACAGACAGAGAATTGCATAGAAAGTGCCCGAAACAACTAATAATCTTCTCAAAATTAATCCTAACCACAGTAGTACTACAGTTTCATTGTCATCAGTTAACTAAATGATAGAAAACCAATGCATTACACCACAGACCCCCAATTTAAGAGGATTTTAAGGAATTCCCCTTTTTAATTTTTAGGTTTCAGAATGAATGACAATCAGTAAAAACTGCCAACCCTATTCATTCCGTTGTTCTTCCAACTTCCAAAAAATGTGATGAAATATTCAAATTATATTAAAATATTCTACTCCTCCTTTTACTGAGGACCCCCTCCTCAAGGAGCCCAGGTTGAAAACCACTGGTCTTGTGACTCTATTAGTGTGGATGGGTTATCTTATAAATAAGATTATATTAAAATGCACATCCACAGGACTCTTTTCAGCATTAGTTTGTGTCATAGGAAACAGCCATTATAAATAGTTATTCCCATTTTTATTCTTGAAATAATAATATTCTAATCCTACAGTATAATAATTGAACACATAGCAATGCCTCTCCTTCCTCTGCTGTTTGATGTGTTTCCCTCAGTAGCCTCTAGATGTCCCTGTTTCTCTGTGACTGACAGTGATGCTGGAGTCTCTCTCCGATGCTGGGACTTCAGTCAGTCTTTAGACTGAAAGGGGGGCTTTGTCTGAAGCATGGTAGGCCAGCTTGTTAGGGCACACACATACACACACACAGAGAGTCACATAGGCAGAGGCTAAATTACAGCCCACGCTTGATGAGTTTGCTATGTCATTTTTTTCTGGAAATTCAAGGTCAGTAGACAATGGATGTGCTGACAGAGGGAGCATTTCATCTCACTGAACTGATTTAGTAGTGTAACTAACTGCACACTGTCATTGAACATTTACTGTCAACTGTTATTTTATCTGTAACCTGTTATTTTTGTCTTCCTCGTTATTGTTGAAGACACGCATGGGAGTAAAACATTTAAAGTCCCCTCCAGTCAGAAATCAGTGTTCCTTCTTGTCCCTACAGTGTGCTGTTTGAATGCTGTCAGTGCAGAGGTTGACACTAGAATGATATTTTCACATTCATCTGCTGAAAGTGGAAAGTTTCTCTGTGCTCATTGAATATTTGATTTTAAGGGGCGGGGCCTACCAGCATGATTTGTGACATCACAAATAGTTTGGAAGTCAGTCCTGGTCCAGTATGCAACTTGTACAGTGTGATGTAGAAACTTGAAGCCACCGGTGCACATCCACTGAGAATGGACTTTACAGTGAAGTAGGAGACATCTTGTGTCCAGCAGGAGAACTTTAGAAATGAAATTGTAATGAGGTAGAAGGAGGAGATGACTTTTTAAGGATTTAAGGATTGATTTCCCCTTGACCAACACATGACAAGGTCTTTAGATAAGATAGATCACATTGATTTCAGTGACCTTTCCAAGACTGCAAACCCTGCAATCATGTTGGCCTTTCGACATTCAGTCTTTTTTACAATAGCATGTAAACTATTTTAAAGAACTTCAGCCTCACAAACGATGTTTGCCTTTGTCGAAGTTCATTTCCTTCCAATGTGAAGAAACTGGTAACTTCAGTAATTAAAGGACACTGACTGTATATCTGACCACAACCTGTCCATCTATAGTACTCTAAAAATGGAGCATATGGATGTGAATAGGAGCTCATGTGCAACAGAGACAAAGCTGCAGACTAAAAAATTAAAACAAACATATGCTCATAATACACGTTCTACATACATGTCCTCCACCACCAGTATGCACTGACTTCAGCCTCATCTACTGATCCTCATTTACTGATCCTTACTGTTAGAAATCCAGAATATAACTAACATCTATCTGCTGCAAGTGAGACATATATATCTAAACTGTAGGTTTAAATGTTTTATGCAATGTTTATGTAAGTATTCAGTTATTTAAATCCTGCTGTTAGAGCTTTTTTTGTTTGGTTTTGTTGTTCATTTATATTAAATACTGTGTGTCATCTGTGCTGTGCTGCTTTTGCTAATGCAGTGAAACAGCTCCTATGGGATCAGTACAGGTTCACAAACTTCCGCACATAGATAATACATTATTAATATGACATGAAGAATATTAGAACATGAAGTGCCTTACTATATACACTGCAAACCTGAGCACTCAATTCTGATTTATTGCTCAGATCTGATTTTTGTGTTTGTTTTGTTGTTTGGCTGTTAACAGTATTCACATTAATATATATATACAGCCACTTGCTTTGGCAATGTGAACGTCTGTTTCAAGGGTCAACTACTAGAATGTAAATAATTCATCATAACCAAAGAAACAAAAACACAGACAGCTCCTTTTTGAACTCTTTACAGCCTCTCTACCTATTATGAGCAGGCTTGGGGAGTAACGAATTGTGACTGAATTACATAATCAGGTTACAAAAAAAGTAACTGTAATCCATTACAGTTACAGAAAAAAAAAAGACATAGATTTACAGTTACATTTACAACATTATTTGTGACTCTTCTTCCTAAAATTCAGACTTTTGATGATTAAAATCCAGTTTAGTTTGTTAAAATCAAAGTAATGGAATATTTCCAGAAGCCAAATGAAAGCATTTCCATCTTCTAAACTAGTTTCCTCCACAATTACAAAAATGAATCCAAGGATGTGATTGGATTGTTGGATTGGATCAGTAGGCGGTGACAACAAAAATAATTATTTTGGGGGGCTAAGTAGTACTAGTTTAGTTTAGTTTTACGACTGTGGCAAGTAATATTGTTACTGTAATATTATTAGTAGTAATGAGTGACTGCCAAACACTGTTAATGAATCAATACTATCCCTTCCTACCAGTTAAACAAAAAAACTCTACCAACTCATTTACATGCACCTACTACAATAAAGTCTGTCTTTACAGTCCAACTATTTATACACAACCCTTAGAAACTGCACACAGTTCTGCTTCTCTAGAGTTAATAATGTGATCCATATGAGCCATGTCGGTGTGTCTCAGTGTGATTGGTAGAGGACGCACTTTCCCTCTGAAGTAAAAGCCCAGGAGAGCTGCTTCATGTCGGGGAATGAACCAGGAAAGAGGCAGAACCGTGGACTACATTTGGTGTACAGTAAATGAAGCTGGTGCCTGGAGATTTACAGTTTATTCCCTCAGCTGTGACTCACTGTGGCGGTGTTTAACCCGCCAGACCGTCAAAGGAGGACTCGCTAAGTGTTGTTATTTCCAGCCAAAAGAAAAACAACGCTCCCAAATGAAGGAAACAGGAAATGTGAAATGTCCATGATTGTTGTGCTGTCGTAGCAGGCGGCGGAGTGCGCCGCCAGTTGTTGTGCTGCTCGGACGGACCTCCCCTCTTTCTGCCTGCTGCCTTCTGTAGGCTGTCCACCCGGAGGAACACCAGCCTGCCTGCCTGAGACGAGGGCGGAGCTGGCCTGGCTGTCACAAAGATTATGTTCCGTTTCAAAAACTAGCCACCACGCTAACCGCTGCCTCGACCTGAACGGCTCTGGGCTTTACCCGCGACGACAAAGCGACTTCTTCTTCAGCCGACTCGAGAAGCAGGATGCCGGTGAAAGGCGGCGGAAGACTGGCCTCGTACCCGAGCAAGAGCGAAAATGTCGGAGTAAGTGACACTTTGCTGTGTGTGACATGTGTGACGGTAAATTCGGTAACATTTAGTAACTTCGCCATAACGTGGAGGAGTTTGGGAAGACGGTTTTTACTGTCGGTGTTCAAAGTGTTGGGAACATGCGTCATTTCAGAACCTGCCTGAAGTGGCTGTGAGGCTTCGTTCAGGCTGTGAGGTGCGTGTTGGCCGGCCAATAGTCAGCTCCTCAGTACACCTGTTGGGCTTCAGGAGAGCCAATGGTAAAGCCTGTTACATAGCCGGACTATCAGTTCACTCTGCTGCTGTTGACCAGTTGTTTATCAGCCTGTAACCTGAGGAAAGTGGAAGAACTTTGACCTAAATCCAGTGCTGAGAGTAGACTCTCACACCATGCTGTGATTGTAATCCTGTCCAGATTGACATGTTTGATTTGATGAGGGTGTTCACTGGAGATAAGAAGGTCACAGGATGTAATCAGTTGTAAGACCAGTAGGGAAACACAAGGACAATTAAATGTCTTCTCTGTGTTGTTGTGCTTTCTTTGAGAGAGGCATCCTAACCCAGTGGTACCCAACCTAGAAGTTGGCACCCTCACTAAGGGTCGCCAAAGCTTCATGGGGGCAGTGAGGCCTTCTTGATTTTAAGGTGTGCTAGAAAACTAAATATAATACAGTAAGCCAGTACCTTAGCATTTGGTTCACTTCTGTGAAGGAAAGTCAATTAAAAGTAAGTTGTAAGTGAGTTGTCTAATTGAGCAATGGTGAGTGCCAGGGACAAGGAAACACTGGATTTGTCAAGAAAGAAGCCTATTAAGTCTGTATGGTTGTTAAATATAAAATAATACATAATACAGACAGAATTATAACAGGAAACAAGCTGCTCAAAATTCATCCAAATCACTGGTTTTACACAAACTGCTTGCAGTTACTGAGTTCACTGTTTGGACCCATTGCACAGTTTTGGATATAATATATAATGTACATATTATAAGTCACTGAGTCAGGGCTCGTCTGTTTACTCAATGATAGAAAAGGGCTCCCTGAAGGAAAAAGGTTATGAACCACTGGCCTAACCTGCTCAGTGGCCACCTGTGGAACTTAAATCTGTGTTAAATAATTGTAGAGGAAAAAACAATATGTTCCCTGTTACATTCCCTCTAAATCTCTCAGCCTACTTTCACTTTAGCACTGCAACATTGTTTCCCTGTTCAGTGCAGTGCTGTGAACTTCAAATGTGTAGTTGCACTGAATATTATGAAAGACAATTTGTTTTTAATGAAAAAGGTCAATTAAATATTTTTTAAGCACATAACTTGACCTCATGTTGCTGTGACCATTGGGGAGAGATGGTGATCACACAATAACAACTCTGCTGGTGGGTCAAGGTTGACTCTTCCTGTGTGTGTGTGTGTGTGTGTGTGTGTGTGTGTGTGTGTGTGTGTGTGTGTGTGTGGATGTGTGTGTGTATACACCCCCCTAAGGCTCCTTCTGGTCTGGCTGGTTGGGCGCAGAAGGAGAGGGGCTGTTCAGATTAACAGAGCCTAGGGGCTTTGTGTGTGTGTGTGTGTGTGTGTGTGTGTGTGTGTGTGTGTGTGTGTGTGTGTGTGTGTGTGTGTGTGTGTGTGTGTAGTACTAGAGTCTCTGTGATCACACTAATGACCCCATGAAAGTCTTCTTCAATCCTCTCAACCATGGCAGTCTAATATTTTGTCTTGAATTCAGCCTGCTTTTCATACAGACAGTATCTCTCAGTCTCCTCCATTCAAACTGTTAATACATAGACTAGAAACATTTTGTTATAGACAATTAAAGTGTTCCTGCTTACATAGATAATTGCAGTTGCAAACATGATAAACAGGTCAAAATGTTAATTCTTTCTATGTGAAACATAGTATGAGAGTTCCAGCTGCAGTTCAAGCATTCTGACAGAGTTTGACGTATAGTTTGAAGAGTGAGTACAGACAGTAGTTGAATTTCCAGCTGATGTGCAATCCCCAAAAGCACTGACACTGGTGTGTAAGCGCTGAAAGAACTGGAGATAGTTGAAGCTGTGCATTAATCGATAAGTCGTCAACTTTTGAATCAGTTCTCAACTATTTTGCTAATTGTCTATAGTCAATTTTTGAAGAAAACATTTCCACGTTCTCTGATTTCAGCCTCTCCAATGTGAATACGTTCTGCTTTCTTTAGTCCTCTGTGACAGTAAACTAAATATCTTTGGGTTGTAGACAAAACAAGACATTTAACGACGTCAGCTTGGGCTTTGGGAAGCACTGATCAACATTTTCTGACAGTTTATGGACCAAACAACAAAGTGATTAATTGTTAATTAAATGATCAACAGGTCTATCGATAATGAAAACAGCTATTAGCTGCAGCCAAATTGCTAGAGCTAATATAGGGCTGCGACTAATGATTATTTTCACCATTTATTGATCTGCCAATTATTTTCACAATTAATTGTCTATAAAATTGTGAAAAAAGTGATAATGATTTAAACTGGAAGTAGATCAACTGTCAGTCGTAGACAGAAAACAACGTGAGGTGAAAGCAGTCAGTGGTGAGTTTGTTGTACAGTATATTTCTTTTCCCTCTGTTGATCTCAGCAATTAAAGGAAAAGTAAAATGTTTACTCTTTCTTTCTTTCTTTCTGAATGGTGATCTGTCTGGATCAATGAGGTGCTTCACATCTAATTTAAAGAAGAAACTTAACAGTGGTGCACACTGAACTGTATTTCTTAATAAGATAATTCCATTCCTGTCCCTGAGCATTGTCTAATCTAGTCTGTGCACATTGTTCATTCATACAGGCGAGCAATGTATTCTGGAACACGAAATCACAGCTGAGTCCTCTCCTTTCTGAAAGAGAGGAAAAAGTGTGTCATCATGTGTACAGCTCCCTGGAAGGCATCACCTTCCCAAAAATCAATGGCACTGAAGTGTCATCAGGATTCTATCAATACTCCCATGATTCAGCGGGCTGTATTTATCAACTCCATTTTTGTTTTCTTACAATAGTGGAGGACCCAGTTCAGCCTGAGTGACGTATTCATACTAATGCAGCTGCTGACAGTGAACAGGCAGAGCATTCATTCGCTGGCACATGTCAGATATAAACGGCTGGCACAGTCAAACACTGATGCAACCCCCAGGTTGGCAACCAACCGCGTATTAGACCTCCGTTTCTCAAGGATTTAATCTGCTGGTTTAGCAATAACACACACATTCCTGTCTGGTAACTGTATCCATAGCCTGAAGATATTTTCAAAAATATACTTTATCACAGCATATAGCAAGTTATATAACTTTTATTAAAGAATTTGAAGTTAAATATTCTTTAAAATGTTAAATATAATCTAAAATATACATTATCAACCAATTCTAGTTAAGATTGCTGAATACGGCTTCTTCTCTCTCACGCTGTGCTGCTTGCCACTGAATTGTAAAACACAGCGCCCTGTGCACGCTGGATAAACTTTGCAGTGACACTGATATACCGGTATTACCACAAGCATTTTTTTCTATATCATATACCGGAAAAAACAGCTTTCATATTGGCTCATATTGGGTAACATGTACATGAATCAGGGGTACACAAGTTGCCATTACTGCAGTTGCGTCTGCCTACAATATGCACGCATTTAAATGCAGCCGATTAATTTGAACATGATTGATTGTGCTAACTAGCTAGTACAGTAGTATTACACAGTACATCACTTGAAATGTGACAGATGGTCAAGGGATCTGCTTTTTCTCTATTTCTCCATTTTCTATTTCTGGCTGTTGTCATATGTCTCACTGATATGTAAAACACTTGCCATCCATATAACACGGCTTCATCTCTAACTTGGGGCCTCTGTCTAACGTCGTCAGTCCATCTACCCATGCTGCGGTCGCTGCGGTCGCTGCTGCCACTGCAGTAATGGCGCTGCTACTAGATAACTGGATTCGTGTATACGCCAATAGTGATATGTTTGCAATAGGCCAATGTTGGAAAATAGAGAAAATGTCCACAGTTTCCCAGAGACCAAGGCAAGGTCTTCAAATTTCTTGTTTTCTCTAACAAACTTGAAAAATTCAACTGAAAGCAGCATGTCCTCACATTCAGGAGGCTGGAACTGTGATTCTGGGGCATTTGTATTAACCAATAAACAATCCTGTGGATACATTTTTGAGTCCCCTGTGCATTAAGGCCTTAAATATATTGAAAGTTTGAAGTGAGAGAATGCAAATGTGTGTATCGCATACCCTGATGTGTGGCCTTAGAGTGTGTGTTTGATTGCACTTGTGCTTTAACAGTAATCCCTGAAATGATGGTAGATGTGCTCGGGGCTGTGGACCAGATTTGGGCATTAACACCCCCCCCCACCCCCACCCCCCACCAACTCCTCCCTCTCCCCCCCACTATGTTGTGCAACACAAAAAGACTCTCTATAATTAGACTGCTCACATTTGGGATGATTATAAAAGATTGAGGCTGTTTCTGGCTGAAGACTCGGCTTGTCTTGTTCTTCTGTCTCCATGTCAATGTTTTAGACTTGTTGGTGTATACAACAGGGAGACCACAGGCCCTGAACAAGGCGTCACTTGTCTTCTTATTTTAAGTCAAAGAGTTTGTAAAGCTCCTCAGTACATTTTCTATTTCATGTTTTAAAATAAGAAAACTTCAGGGTCCTGAAATCAGCCCACCCAGTAGATTTAGTGACAAGTAGAGGTGAAGTTGCTGACTAAAACCAACTGAATACCGCTCGCCTTGAAAGCATGTAGGAGAAACTAAAGTGGCTGCAAAAAATGCGAAAGCCCAGATCTAGTGCCAGTGTTTGGTTTGTCTGCTCTGCGCTACCGTAGAAACATGATGGTTCAACATGGCGGATTCTGTAGCAGAGGACTTCCCCTGTAGATAAAAACACATTGTAAGGTAACAAAAACACAACGATTCTCATTTTCAGGTGATTATACTGTGATTATATTCCATTTCTGCCAACAGAGCCTCCTAAATGTGACTGTGAATGGTAA